CAGCGATACACACTGAAATAACACATTGTCTCACTGTTCAGACATCAATTTCTATTGGTTCTTGCCCGAGCCTATCTTGTTAGTGAAGCCTTCTGTGCATCTTTAGTGTATGCCAGATTACTGATTTCAGCTCTGTGGTTACACTGGGGCCGACCCTCTGCCAATCAGTTCAAGCCATCAGACAAGAGACGCCTCAGCTGTCAATAAAGAGAACTTGACAACAACAACAAAACGTGTAGACTAGCTGACTGGGTGTCTGGCTTGAAATCTCATCTTAATTATCTCATTAACTTTAGATGTAACACAATGTGTCTCATGATCACAACTTAATTACCTGGAGCTCATATTTAGTTTTTAAGCCTGTCATCCTGAGATACTGATTTAATTATATTACTTCCAGACATCACTACTGAGCCTCTCTAGCACTAGGCAATGTCAGTCTGACGGTCAGGCGGTCCGCCACTTTGGTCCAGACTGAAATATCTCAACAATTGGATGGATTGCCATGGAACTTTGGATAAACATTCAAGGCCCCAAGAGAATGAATCCTACTGAGTTTAGTGCAACTTTTCCTCCACCGCCACCATGAGTTTGACATTTGTGGTTGAGTGAAATGTCTCAACTACAATTGGATGGATTGTCGTGACAATTTGGTACAGATATTCATGATCCCCTCAAGGTTAATCTAACGTGGTTACCTGCTAAACATCATGTCAGCATTGTCATTGTAAGCTTACGTTAACATTTAGTAAAGCCTCACAGAGCTGACAGCATGGCTGTAGACTCTTAGCATTGTTTGATTTTGTGGTTGTTAGGAGTTTAATTGAGGTCTAATTGCTTGGCCTACAATACAACTGCCCTTACTGTCCAATATTTCTAAATGATGCCCACAGAGTTTCAGCTTGACACAGACTTTGCCTGAGTTCTTTGAATGACTTAGGTACGGATCAATGCTGTGCACCCCCTCTGTCACCTCTACCTTTCCTTTAGTTAGGCATTACATACCTTACCTAAGAAATGAGGCTGGCACTGTGGCTAAACCTACAGCTTATTAATAGGAATCAATTTAAATCACACATATTGAAAACATAAACAGTACGTCGTAGACAAACACATACATATAAGCTCAAACAACACTGAGGCAGTACACGAATAAGCATTTGAGGAAGAACTTCATTCTGAAGCGTTCAGCATCATAGTGCTGCAGAGTTTAGGGAAACTGATGACCTGAACGAAATCACACTGGAATGAATAAATTACCATCTTGTGCAAGAATCAAATTCTAGATTCAAACATTAACACCTTTGTTTTACGATCAATAAGATTGTCAAGGTATCGAAGAAGGATGGTTAAGTGTAGACCACAGTCTGGTGCGCCCTGCGAAAGCCAAGCAGCTGGTGGGACCACTTCAAATAATAGTCAGGGGAGAGTCTAGTACAGCTTGTCTCCTGAGTAGTAATTGTGTGTGTGTGTGTGTGTGTGTGTGTGTGTGTGTGTGTGTGTGTGTGGATATTGCAGGGTTATAGTGGATGGTGCAGTGTCTTTGTACATGTGCACATTTACCTATTGTGTTGTGTGTTGGCGTATGCGTTTGTGGGTGTGGTACCTCATCACAGATGAACAACGCTCTCTACAAAGATTGTCTGCTCATGTAATTCCTGCTAAAATGAAATGTTCTCTGGATATTTCTTTTAAAGGATATACAGCCTATCGGAGAGAAAATTGCAAAGATATTTGGAGTTGATTGCCTTTGCACTGCTATGTTTCCGCTGAAAGTCTCTCCACCACTCAGCAAAAGCGCAGAGGAGAGGAGAAATGATGATCTCCTGCTGGTTCTGTTGTATGAATGTTTAATAGATGGAAGGATGAAAAACAGATGAAGCCCTGCTCAACCTCTATGGTTGTATTATTTTTTTTAAACTGTTTTAGAATATTATTCTCAGCTTGTCAAATGTTCAGCCTGTATCCCATCTGACTGCATCTAGCATCCTCATTTACAGAAAGTGCAAGTATCCTGCTCTTTCTTCTGTCTATCAGCACGCTATACTGCGTGTATCTGACTGCAGTAAAAGCTACGGCTTAGATAGCAATGTATACTTTGTAGTGCCAGTGATATAGTGGACAATATTTCAAAAATCACTGCTAATTTTCTCATATTGTTTTAAATTAGCAGTTTTGAATAATCTTGAATTCCAGGTAAATGATTTGGTAACTACAAATCTGCTGATTCAATCCCCTCTGGAGATGCACTGGGGTAGTGGTCTTGGGCAAGGTTGCTTTCTCCCAAATTGAATGATTAAAAAAAGAGTGGATTTATACAGTAAATCTCTAAGGATGGAATGACGTGCACGAAGTAAGGTCACACAGTGGGAAAATATAGTGTACTGACACATGCTTTACAGAGAGATATATATCAACTTGTTCCAGCTGATGTGTAGTCGACTTTGGAGTCACTTTGATCCTCCCACTGAAACTCTGAGGTCATAGTTGTTTCGACCACCAAGACTCGGAGGTATAATACAATTTGACACATGCAAGGGTACAAGAAAGATCCCATCCAGACACGTTTTAAAATATAGAGATTCAATATACGACTCTTCCTCAAAAGGTTTAATTCACTTTTAAAGCATCTTTTGAAATGAATGAATCATTAATATTCAATGATTGTGGTGAATACAGGTGTGCACTCGTAACTTGTTGATAATGCCTCTGAAAGTGTATTACCCCCAGGTGAAGTCTGTATTTGACACTACTATATCAGTTTATTCAAGTGTCAATCATAAAATCACTGGAGCTTAGTGAGCTGTCGTCTTCTCTTCAAAATATAGAAGTCACCAGACAACTAAGTTGCATATTGGACCATGATTGACTTCCATAAGTTGTGATGTCACTAAAATGATGCTTGTACAAAAACGTATTAAACAGCCTTCTAGGGTCAAACACACAACAATCTGCAAAGTGAAGGTCAGTCATCCAAGTGAAGTAACGTTAAGCAAAACACATTTTTTTGTAGGGAGGGGACTTTTTTTTTCAAGGCTATATGGCTATAGATATATGGATGGCTATGTTTTATTACAGAACATGAAGTAAACACACATGCAATTACCTCTCAACTACTGTGAAAACACCCTCTGTGCCTGAAACTGCATAAACCACAGCTCTGACACTACTTCTGAATTATGGCCTGCATCATCATGTAAACCACACCTACTGCAAACTGCCCGCAGGCAGGACCCGAGGTGGGGTGCAGCCTATAGCCGCGGAGATGTGAGGACAGAAGAGGAGCAGCGGAAAGTACTGTGTTAGGGTCGCAGCATCCTGCCTGCCACAGTTTGTAGGCTCAGTGTGCAGATAATTAAGGTTGAGGGTGGACAGCTCCCTACAGCGCCGCTGTGGCAGAGCTGTGGACCGGGGCTATTCATTTTCCCAAAGAGGGAACACAGCGGAGGCAAGGTGGGAGCCACTGGGGAGCTCTATAGGGAGCTGATCCGTATGGTGGCACAAATAGGGAGGCTGTGAAGATGTGGAAATGGAGTACTCTATTTACTCAATTCATTTCAGGTCGGTAGAACAGCAGAAACTCCATTGATTACTTTCCTACTGACTAGCGCCTCATTTTACGCAGCTCCGGAGGTTTGTTTCAAGCTGTGAAGCAGTCCATGCAGCCACAAAGAGGTTTAGTTAAAGTGACTTTTTTTTTTCTACCTGCTGTAAATATTACGGAGGAAAGAAATCCTCTTCACTGCTCTTTGTACCCACTCACTTTTTTTTTTACTGTTTACTGTCCGTACCCGTTGCCTGCACTGTGCTCCTGTCTGGAGTTTGATGTTTCATTTGTTTATTTTGTCCATTAGAATACCAGTGGGCATCGAGAGTGAAGTGGTTGAGGGACCGAGGGAGTGGGAGCTATAAAGTCAGATGGATGTGAATGTGAGAGCCCTCGTTGTTCTTGCCGGAGAACTCCAGGCCCGTCTGCTGCTGCTGAGCTCGGTCCTCCTTGCTTCCTCTGCAGCACTTCTCAACCGAGGGAGTCCTTTTTATTCCAGCATCTGTGCTGTGATGAGAAACACCAGCTAACTAGGCCACTGCATAATAAGCAAGAATAGCAGCAAAGAAAAAGTGAATACAAAAAGAAAAGAGGAAAAAAGACGCAGTTCACGGGGGGGGAAAGCTTACCCAACATGTAACTGCTGACAAAAGTAATTCTCTAAGCAAATATTGTCTTTATTCCTTTATTGCAGATGCAGTCATTTATTATTGCTTACATTTACCTATAACTTCTGCAGAGGTGCATCAGAGTTCACATCTCATTTCGGCACTAAAGCCCCGGAGCTATACTGTCATGTGACTGACAATGCACCTTGCTGACTTTTCGTTTGGTGTGTGTCTCAACTGCAGTCCTGGGATCACTCCTGGTGCTGCAACATTTCTGTGATACTCAGCGTTTTAGCTCTTGATTCACTTTGTCAACGGCTTCATTATTGTCTTCCAGGAAGAGGCAGATGCGGGAGTCTTCACTGCTTCTCTTTCATGCTTTTCACACTAGTTCTTTGTATTTTGCGTTGTGCACACTCTTGTTATTCACGATATTTCTGCAATGTTTAAAGTGGCTTTAATTGATTTGTTTAGAATAACAATGTGACAATATGACAGCTCGTAGTGATGAGTCTACAGAGAATTATCACTTGAATCTGCAGCTCTCCTCAGCTTTAGCGAGCTCCATAACGAGTTTCAGCTCATCGTTTGTGGCCACAGCACGCAGCTGTTTTCAGCAAAAAAGCTCTAAAAAGCCACTGCACACCAGCTGCTCAGCACCCAACAGCAGACAGACACAGATAGCAACTAATAGCTGGTGAACATAGTGGAGCGTTTAGCAGCTTAAAGAGCCAGATATTTCTGGAAGAGACCAAAACCAGAGCTAAGAGAGTCAAATCAAGTGTAAACACACATAACTGACACTTTCCTGCATTGTCTCTCTCTCTCTCTTTCTCTCTTTCTAGTGTCGAGCATGACTTCCGTCTGCAGGAGGGGCAGGTGGTACGCACATGGAAAGTGGGCGACCCTCCTGAAGGCTCGCCACAGACCCCAACTCCCCAGCCCTCCACACCCAACCAACAAGACTCCCCTCAGCCGGTGCGACCCCCTGCCAATGCCAGGAAAAACAGGAAGAAATGTTTCTGGTTCCTCTGAGTGCAGGCGGATTGGAGAAAAAGACATTTTGATACCATAATGCACTGCGCACCCTTCTTTAAAAACCTGCAAATGATAAACTATGGAGACATGGAATGAACTGGAGAATTAAAATGCATTAAATGCAAACATGAAACTGTGGGAGGAGAAAGGGTGACAAAGGTTATGACAAGTTTGCTGTTGGAGTTGATGATAATGGTTTGACTGGGCCGCACATGTTGTTACTGCTCTTGAAATGCCTCTTCAGCACTTAGAGGTTTGGTACTGGTGCAGGGAAGTAAAAGTGCTGAAGTCAAATAAAAGCAAAAGTTCAGTCCACAATATGACTCACAGTTAGGAAGCAATTAAGAGGCATAAAGAGAATATATATATAGCGGGTGGACCGGGGCAAGGGGCAATACTGCAGAGAGGATGGAGTATATTTATAAAAGATGAAAAGAATAAAGTTTATAAGCAAAGAGAGAAAAAGACAGGAAGGATTCATCTTCATTAATGGACAAATGAGGGTCAGAACACCAGCTTTTATATCCAGAGACATTTAAAAAGAATTATTATGACCTGTATTTAAAACTTTTAATATACTGTAATTGATAACAAATTACTACACATGTCTACATGCACATACAGCACACACAAACACATACATAAACAAATGAAGTGACATATTTGCATAAAAGGCATACAGTATATATATAAAATGAGACATTGAGTGAGTTGAGCGACTCTGCTTGGATGCTATATTTCAGATATGGATTACAGCTCTATAAAAGTATTTTACCACAGCTGGATGTGTGTGTTTTCATTCTGGGTTCAACATGTGTAAGCAGCATTATTTTTCTCATTCCGTCTGTCTGAATATTCTTGTATTCACCCTCGGTTTTAGCGCCTGTCTCTTAAAGCCCTCCTCCCGAAAAAGCCCAGTCTGCTCCAGTTGGCTTTCGAGAAAAATATGGTGCACCTTTGCAAAGGTATAGTTCTCAAGCTGCAGGTGGAGATATGCTCAGATGGGGCGGTGGTATATTCTAAAAAGCCTGCAATAAGCCACATCCGAATGGCTTGTTGAATTACATGTTTTCTGATTTAGGAAGCCCACAAAAAAACTTAACTGTGTGGTCTTATTTCACAGTTTGTGGGTTGGTAGGCGCTCCAGATGCCCAAATGTATGTGCACAAGCTCTGAAATGAGTTTTTAATGCTAATTCCCCTTTAAATGAGCCCATCGGACCCTCCTAGACCTCTGAAATGTGACAAGATGCTCCAAGTAGAAATGGCTTTCAGTCAAAGAGGTTGGAAACCACTAGTTTAATCATTAACAATGCATTGTATTTTATAAGCTCACCATATGATGTAACATTTTAATATGAAAAGTAGTAGCTACAACTGTCAGTTCAATTAGGTAGAGTCAAAAGTAAAAAGTAATTCACTTTGAAAGGTGTATAAAGGAGTATAAAGTAGCAGAAGCTCAAATACTTCAGTGAACTAGTAAATGTCAGTAACTTTCCACCACTGGCTGTTATCATTAGCCACTCATTTCATTCGTCACTTTTAGGACACAAGGATAGGTAAATTACTGGAAAACAGAAAACATGTTATACATTTCTAAGACGCAGATGCCTCTCAGTCCTCAGATGGCGCCTCAGACAGCCCACTTTCCTGGACACTTCAGGGCAAGTCTCAGGAAATTTAGCCTCAGCTGTCTGATGGCTGTAAGAAGCCCCAAATATTACTACTTAGTAATTCATGACACACATAAGCTGCTTCTATGAGGCTCTGAGGTTGTGTGAGATCCTGACCCAATTCATTCCGAACTTTGGAGAGGGTTAGCTCCTAGTTTGTTTGCTTGCATGTTTGGCTTTGTACAACCACTGCCAGCTTAAACTTTGCCTCAAACAAAGCAGTTAGAAACAGACGGTGTTTTGTTTCTGTTGGGGAGAGAGTTATTGGAGGGAATATGCATCCGTGTCAGGCAGGAGTCCACAGTCCTTTATTCACTGGACTTGTAACTGCCACGTTGTCGAAACATGAAACATGCATATGCACACATGTGCGCGCACACACACCACCTTACACACCATCCTCCACTTAACTCTGTGTCCTGCTGTGCTGCACTGAGGTGCAGAAGTTGGAAAGAGTTTGCTGCACGTACCATCGCTTGAAAATAACACATTTAGACACAAACCCTGTCGCGCACACAGTCTCACAACCACACATTTCCACTTAACACACACGCACACAGAATCACACAGCAAACATATTGTTCTCAGACCAACACAACGCATTATCTCCCCCGCAGTTGTTCCTCTCTCTCTCTCACAACCAGGCACATGCTCCCTCCTAGTAGCTCTGTGTGTGCTGAGAGGAGTGTAGAGTTGTCGGTCATTAATCTGCTACAGCACAGCCTGTAATCCTGATGACAGAGCAGAGCAGGCTTACAGAGAGCAGAGAGGATCTGAGCCCAGCCTGGAGTGGGGAACAAAGGAGCCAGAGAAGACTGGCTTTGAATCCATAAAAAGAAAGGATGTGTGTGTGTGTGTGTGTGTGTGTGTGTGTGTGTGTGTGTGTGTGTGTGTGTGTGCAGTGATTCTAGGGTGAGGTAGGTAACTATTTTGTCAGCAATGCTGCAGTGCTATTCAAGAATGCTGGCACACACAAAAGGGAGAAAAGCTTTACATGGAAAGCAACCCTGGGCTGCCGGTGTGTCACACTGACACATCAGGTAAACGGGCTCTGGTCATTATGGAGTGTGTCACACTGACACGTCAGGTAAACAGGCTCTGGTCATTATGGAGTGTGTCACACTGACATGTCAGGTAAACGGGCTCTGGTCATTATGGAGCACCAGAGAGAGAGAGAGAGAGAGAGAGAGAGAGAGAGAGGAAACAAACCTATTTAGAGGTCTCTTCAAAGAAACATCAAGGGTCAAAGTTGGCTCACGCAATTCAGTGCAACATCAGTCGAGGCTCGACTTGAAATGAAGGAGAAAAAAAATAACCATGTCTTCGGGCATCAACAACCGTGCATAATGGGCATGTGAAAACAACTACAACTGCCTCTGCCCGCTGAGAAGGAAGCAGCAAAGCTAATGCTGCATGAGTCATTGAGCTTAGACTGCTATTGAGATATTATGTTTCACTTTGCCACATTACAACTAAAGAGGTCATTTCACAGTCAATCAGACCGAGAAGTAAGAGGTGCTGGAGACACAACCTGTCCGCACGTCCAGCACTTAAATAATATCATTTGATGGCTAACGCAGTGAATGATGCAACGTAAGCTGTGTCTTTTCCCAATGACTTAGTAATGATACCGATAAACAAGCCCCAAAGATGCAATGATACTTGAAAGAATTATATTTTCTTTGAACTGAGATTGGAGCCTCATTAGTGACCAAATAAAAGAAAAATATGGATTGAATGTGGACCGGGGGATCCAAATTAAAAATACACCCACATACACAATGCCTGGGCGTATCCTCTGGCTTGGCTCTCTAGATTTCAGAAGAATCACACACGCACACACGGTCATATGTGTAGCACTACAACACTGTGTGTGTGTGTGTGTGTGTGTGTGTGTGTGTGTGTGTGTGTCACTGGGACATGGTAAATAATGAATTAAAAAGGATCCATTTGAAGACGACCTGCCAAGTTTCTGAGTCAACTGCAATAGCTGCAGATAGGTTTAATAAATGATGAGCTAAATTCTCCCTTGCCACAGCTGTCACTGATGCAAAAATGGGCAATGAAATGTAAATACGTTGTGGCTGGGCTGAGCAGGACGAGAGGAACACTGCGGACCTGCGTCACCGCGGCTCTCCACACGAGGCGAGTTGTAGCAGGCTGGCTTGGGAGGAGAAAATAAATCCAGTGTGCTGAATTTGTCAATAAGTTGCATAAGTTTTGATTAGTGTTGGACATTTTGCCTTCACAGAAAACTTCAGAGTAGACACACACACACACACACACAGCAAAGATTTTTTACGAAAGAGTGGGATGATATTTGACAAGGACCCAGACTGCATTCAAACCAGAGATGTTGGAGGAGGAACATCAACGTATAGGAGCTGAGCTGCGAGCAAAGTTTTGACTGTGTGCTCATTCCTTCACTTTTAATTGCTGGTGTTAAATGTTTTTATTATGATATGTGAGCAGCATCATGGTTTATTTTCCTACTCCGTTTCTAGCCTGCCTTCCAACAGAAGTTGGATCAACCAGTCTGTTTGCTTGAGGCAGAGATTAGGACACGGTCAGACTGAAAAAATACAGCCCCTTGATTACCTTGATTGAGGCATGGCTGATGACACAGCGGGGGTGCCAACAAATTCATCGAAGAACTCAGTATTTATTTTGGCGTGACGAAAAATAAAATAATAGCCGCAATAATAAAATCACTGACCCCACACACCAGTAGCACATCTGACAGTTCATAAACGTAAGAAATAGAACTTTTAAATCCAGGTTTCAAAATGTGAACTACTTACCATGACGTGTCATGCAGCAAAACTCATGTTGCAAACAATGAGAGTTTATAAAACAGTAAAACAATTTGAACAAAGAATAAAGAGTTCATGCCTGTGCTGCCTGCAGGCCAGTCAATGTGCTCAGGAACACGTTTGACAATTATTTTCAGGGGAATGTGTCACTGTTTGAGAAGAGTTTTCTGAACATCAAAGTCAGTCTCTCTGAAGACGTGTTAGATAACTTCAAAGTCCTGGGACTGCTTTGCCGAGAGGTGTTTTTCCTTTGTTTTGTTCAGTTTGTTTTCTTCTCCGTGCTGGAGCAGATGATAAAGACTGTGAGTGCATATTGCGTCATGAACCTGTTCTTTGTAATTCACGATTCAAGGTCACAGTGGACATTGAACATGAATTGAAGCATCAAAATATTCTGACAGGCTGGTTTCCAAACAAGACGCTTGGAGAGACCATTTTCGTGCTGAATTCTTCTTCTTATTACTCAGAACTTGCCGTGAAATGGTAAGTGATGATATATAAAAGATAGAATTATTATTGACGTTTTTGATAATTTGATTTTGCCTCAGATTTGTCTCTGGTTGCATTTTACATTTGTCCTTCAATTAGTGTTTTAGAGAAATGTTTCCTTTAGGTTCTTCATGTTCTGATCCCCAACAGACTGCACGTCCAAGGATTACTGATTTTCTTTCAGATCGATGCTTTGTATAGAGATCCTTGGCTGCTTGAGATGGAACTGAATAGTTATTGGGGTTGCTGCTTGCATTTACCTGCAAGACCTCTGCAACACGTTAGCTCAGAATTGGTCCTTGCAATCAATATCCTGCTTTTCCTTCAGAATGTCCTTGTTGTAAACAAAGGCTTTATCAAAGTGATATAATGTTATGGATAAATCAATTTAAAGGCAATGAAAACTTTTTAAAACCATTGAAGACTGAAAGCAGGGTTGATTATTAAGCTTTAGAGGTCAGCTGAATTATTCCTTTAATAAAAAGACGGGTTGAATATTGTATATTTGTGCCCATCTGTATTAACATAAAGTACATTTTCATTGAATTTTGATTAGATATTTGAATGATTGTTTTGCATCGCGATACAAAGTGTGGCACAAGACCATTTGCTGCCTTTATTTCCCACAGCATCAAATCAGCAACAAGAGGCTGATGCCTTCGACTCTTAATTAGTAGCGGATCCTCCAACAACGTGCGGTACACATCACATTATGAGCTTCATCTACCTGCCACACACATAGCTGGTCTCTAGTGGCATAATTATATGACTAATGCTGTGGTATTAATTTGATTTACTGCCCCAG